CACTGGTATGTGGGAGAGGGTATGGAGGAGGGAGAGTTTTCTGAAGCCCGTGAAGACATGGCAGCCCTGGAGAAGGACTATGAAGAGGTCGGCACTGACAGCGTGGGGGATGAAGATGAAGAAGGAGAAGAGTAATGACAGGAAACAAATTATCTGAGCCCCCCACACCTGAAGCATTCTCTGATTTCCTGTTCCAGGACAGAATTTTAAATCAGCAATTCCTACATTCACCTAACACTAACATTCCTTATATTTACAATGAGAAAGAAAATACTGCTGTAAATGCCAATAAAACATCATATTGTCATATTTATTTTAAGCTCAAAGATATTAATCACCAAAGCTAAATGTCTTTTTAAAAATGCTAAATAAAGTTAAGTCAAACTGTTTATTGGTCATTTTTATATGTTTGTTTGTTTGTTTGTTTATAAACATGTATTAGAGTGAAACTTGGGGGTTCATCTATCCAAGGCAGGGGCAGACTTGAGATGGGACCCCACTGCATTTCAGGGCACAAACACAGACACACAAGCATCCTATGGATAACATGGGTGTATCGCTGTGGTCTGTGGAAGGAAACCCGAACAAAGCATAGGGAAGTCATACAAAACATACAAAGAGGAGGGAACTGAACACCCTTTCCTGGATGTGTGAGCATATTGTGCCCTCTGAGCTTGTGTACCATCCAAAATATGCGTGAATACAATGAGCTTTATGAATACATGTTTTTATCCTTTTTATCCAGTCCTTTTTGTTTCTTTTGCTTTTTGATTCTGTAAGCACTTTGAGATTTTTGATAATGTAAAGTGCAGTATAAATAAAATGTATATCCTAAGAAACTTTGCTAATATTGGACAAAAATGCAGTTGATACAGAAAAACATACCATTAAGATAGTGTGGTGTTACCAAAGCAAATAAACAAAAAAGACAGATAATACGTTTCAAAAATTCAGTCAGCAACTGCAAATCAAAACTTAGGAAGCAGTTACCACTCAGCTCTGAATGTAGCATCCTAAAATATCCATAATTATAAGAGCTAAACCGATACTCGAACTTTTCCTTATTTTTTACGCTTATATTTACAAACCCAGTTAGGTAATGTGATGTAAGTAGCCTACAACTATAGCCTATTTAATATTCTTGCCAAACAATGGCTTTCATTAAAACAAAAACTCTTTTAAAAAGATTGCGATTGTTAAACTCTGTTTACAGTTGGAAAGTAAGGGTGGGGCTAAATGCCGCTCTGCCTAAAAACTGCAAGCAACGCGAGTTCACATAAACAGCTACTGAAAACAGCCGTTTGAGGGCCGCTTGTTATCTGTAAGACCGCCCGTCTTGGGCTGCTGCCTATCTAACACCAGCCGCGTGTATGAAATGTGAACGTGCAGCCGTGCAGCCGAGAAACTGTTCAGCCCGTAGAATCAGAGAGTAATCCCGCCAAAAGTAACAAAAATAAAAAGTCATTGTCACCTACATAACTGAGAATGACACATAAACTCAATTTAATAAACATCTTAATACCTATTGGATTTAATAGGACACGTAACCACAAGATATAATGTATATCTTGGTATTGATATAATGTTTGGGAAAGTGACAAAGTAACAATAAAACACATTAGACGTACCTTCTCCAAATAGCTCTATTCCAGTAACTTGCAAAATGAAAATGTACTTATAAGTGATCAGCTTTATTATTGTATGAATACAGTAGAACACTGGTATGATTCTAATTATTTTACCACATTTCATACAAAAAATAAATAAACAACCATTCTATCAATAAATGAATAAATAAATGTATTAATTCAATCAATCAATATCAGGAAATGACATAAAGAATGTCACCACATATTCAAAAGTATTCTAGATTCATTTAATTTTTAGATTTTGTTTTATTTGTGAACTGTGAACAACCGTTACCAAAATTTATATACAGCAACAGTCTGCAAGAAAACTTCCCGGATGTGATGATTGCCGGCCCCCTTCTCCTTGAAAAGTGCTGTGTGTAACGAGAGCACTAAAGACTCATCTAACACCTCAACCTTGGCTGACTGAGCAGCGAACTGCAATTATAAAATGGTGAGTGAATTTACATATTATAATTATACAATAAAAATATTATGGTGCTCACTGAATATTTTGTACTATGCAAGTAGAATTTTTTTTATTGAAATTTATGATAACATTTGATTATAGGGATTATAACAAGGCCTTTAAAACTAATGCATGTGCATTTAGGCCTAATAAAATTATATTATCAGTGCCAGGTTTTTCTTCTATTATTTCTTAATTTGGGAAAGAAATGTGTCAAAAAATTGCACAAAAAAGGCCAGTACTACAATATGACATGCATTTTAATAGTCTTCATAAAATGACACAAAACCAAACAGACAGTAGTATGCATGCAACATAAATTAGATTTTTAGGTATGTGCTAAAGCCCTTTACACTCGGCCATTGTAAGTCATTGTGCAATAAGACGAGGGTGGGTCGTCATAAGAGTAGTTGGCAATAACAGAATGAACCTTTGACATAGACTGTCAGAGGACTGAACTCAACAGAACCAGAAACAAAGGGGACTGCGAAGGGTCTAAATAATAGGCAGGAAGGCTAAACAAGAATTAACAAGAACTAAACTGAACACAGGGAAATGCTGAGGCAACACAGACTTTTAACAGGGTAGTAAACCAGGAACATCCAACTGGAAGCACATACACAATCAGGTAACACATGCAACACCTACGATTACCAACAGGAACAGGACAAAGGCAGGCACATATATACACAGGTAGCAAGGGCAAAACCAGGCGAGAACTACGGATGGTTCTATATCATGTTTCCTTATCCGATTCCAATATTATAATTTTGAGTATTTGCCGATACCAATACCAATCCAATATTTTTTTTTCCATTTATCAGCTACTATAAGCATTAAATTAGATATTTGTATCAGTACTGTTCAATTAACACGGCAAACTATCTACATTTAGCGTTGCAGCAGTGTTGCTTGAGTATACTAAGAACAGGAAAATATAATGGTCACGTTGCTCAAACATAAGCTCTGCCATTACACTACAGGAATACATCCACGGGCGGTAGCCTATAATTTACACAACTTTGCTTCTTTGTTGTATTCGCGGTAACTGGTTTCGCAAAAATGAACAGAAATCTGTCTTAACGTGCAAAATGTGCAATCTGTTGCCAGAATAAATATAATAAAGTAATCAATCACAAAAATAACACTGTATAGCCCAACTATCCATTTCTAGTCAAAAAGGTATATGTAAGTCTCCAGTACCAAAAGTAAGTAGAGTAACCGCTTCACATTCAGGGTGTATTAGGGGCGGAAAACCCAGCAAATAATAGGCACCGCTAAGATCGACCCATAACAATCTGCTAGCTAGAAGGATAACATAACAAAGTCTATTTATTTTATTTATTGCCATTTCCTAACGAGACCTTTTCATACAATATACAAAACATCTAAACTGTGCCTCGATATGTGCAAAGTTAGTACTGCAGGCACTGGCTATAGCAGTATGTTTGAGAGTCATTCTTAAAAATGCAAAATTAACGGCACTGAAAAGTTAAAAGGTTACTGGGAAAAGCAAGAGATTCCAGCTAACCCAAAAGTGAAGCTGGTTGCCGAGATAAGAACCAAGACTTTAAATATCAAAGACATAGCATGAACTCACCCTAACAAATATTATGTATTTTTAAGAGTGTATATACACACACATACACATTATGGTTTTATGTGATTCAACTTATTTTCAGCATTATTTTTGGTTTATGCGTCGTCTGGGAGTTTCTGCGATATTTCAGCCAGCTCCAAAAATGCCAATATTTTCCTTTCTATTTTCCAGCGTGAATGTATTTCTATCCATGTTGGCCAAGCAGGTGTCCAGATGGGCAATTCATGCTGGGAATTGTACTGCCTTGAACATGGCATTGAACCTAATGGACAAATGCCTAGTGACAAGACAGTACGAGATGGAGAAGACTCCTTTAACACCTTTTTCTGTGAAACAAGGGCTGGAAAACATGTCCCTCGGGCTGTTTATGTGGACCTGGAACCTACTGTCATAGGTAAGATCGGTCATATTACTATAATCAGATGTTGTAAGAATAAACTGTTTATTTTCTGTTGCAGCTGTACATATAACTAAATATTCAATTTTTCATAGATGAGGTACGCACAGGTACTTATCGGCAGCTGTTTCATCCTGAGCAGCTCATCACTGGCAAAGAAGATGCTGCCAACAACTATGCCCGCGGGCACTACACCATCGGCAAGGAGATCATCGACCTGGTGCTGGACAGGACACGCAAGCTGGTATGGACTTCATTGGGATTTCACTGTAATTTCTTAACAGACATTTTGCTATATAACATTTTATCACTTTACATGAAACCTTCTCCCTGTCTCCCTCAGGCTGACCAGTGCACCGGCCTCCAAGGTTTCCTCATCTTCCACAGTTTTGGTGGGGGTACTGG